CCCTCATTAAAATGCAAATAAATTTATAACATTTTTGACATGCGTTTTTCTGGATTTTTTTGTTTTATTCTGTCTCTCACTGTTCAAATAAACCTACCATTAAAATTATAGACTGATCAATTCTTTGTCAGTGGGCAAACGTACAAAATCAGCAGGGGATCAAATACTTGTTTCCCTCACTGTAGATAGGTTCAAAGAAAATAACAGGTAGCTCTCCGATCTTACATTTACATTTCTCACTTTAACATCAATAGCCCCACCCACTTCGCTTATGACCCTTGGGCTACACCAATTTCAAACCTTTAAAACAGCCTGCCTCAGCAGCTTTCCCTCTCTTTTTTTTTCTCCCGATGACGATTGCTTGTGTTGCGATCGAAACGTCGTAGCTTTTTGTTATTTTTGTTAACCTATCTACGTGACTTCACCGAAAGACCCAAGAATATGAATTCCTGCAGTCACGAAAGCTTTAAGTCAAGGCAGGTCATTGTGTACGTTTTGTTGGCATTGCTTCTGAATTCAGTCTGGGAGTGCAAGGTTGTAATTGAAACGTCACACTTAAAATATGCCTCATCGCATTGTTTCCATTACTAAATTGTGTGATGAAATCAATCCAAGTGTGTGGGGGGTGGGAGGCTTTGTCGAGGAGAGGGGGATGTTCTCACACACTCAATGGTCACTGTTTTATTGCCAACATTTTTTGTTGTTTTGCTTTTGTCATTTTGGTGACGTGGGTCACTCCTGCAAATTTGACTATCCTGGTCTCTTGATTTTGCATCAGGGTTAAATAAATAAACTTGACTTGTCTTGACTTGTCATTAGCACCTTTTCTCAAGCTGCCATTGCACATTTCAACAAGACTCTTATCAGTCTGTAGCAGGGGGTCACAATAACGTACTTAAAGCTCCCATGTGAATTACGTTTTTGCATTTAGGGACTTGGTGACATTGATCAAAGTGTTACCAAGAAAAACGTAATAACAAAACACCAACGCTAAATATAAAATATGTTTCGGTCACAGAGATGTCACGCGCCATGCGTGCGCCTCCCAAACCCCGAAAGCAGCGGGGGAAACCTACGAAGTCGTTTTTTCGGACACCTGGGCCCCGAGATTCCTCGCCAGTGTCAGATTTTTTTTTAACTACTGACGGACATAATTACCGTCATCCAGCCAACGCTGGTTGAGGTCATTTTGTCGTCCAGGTGCGATATTTGCTCCGTTTCCTCGCACTGGATAAAGCCGGCGCTCGCACATTATGCGGCGGGGTCTTTGCAACCTCCACAAGCACTCCCAGTACCAAGCTCTCCGCTGCCTAAGAAAGTTGCCGATGCATTACGCGCGGATTGCCAATTAAGTTTGGTCAGTGCATGCACTTTACACCGTGATATTGAGCCACGCTTGAAGTTTCTGCCAGTATTTTAACTATGGACCTACGGTTCTTTTTGAGTGCTGGAGCGATAGTCTACGAAAGGTGAGTCACAGTAAAACAAATAAAATTTGCTTTTGCTTTATTTATGAAAGAAAACTGATGTTAAACAAGCTAGTTATGCGTAGCCTAGGGCGCATTTTTAATGGTACCCTCTCGGAGCCTGTCATTTATTTGCGTGATCAACGACAAGATTACGAATACAACATTTCCACGTGATCTTAACATTATTTCGCATACTTAATGATGAGTAATTTTCTCAATTTAGATTGTCTTGCGGAAGAGTATTCGGTGCCTGTCAATGTTTATACAACTGATAATAGTGCAATGTTTTACTGTGGGCGTCGTGAGTTTGTGGTTGGCACAATGCGCTGTGGTCCCAGCAATCCCAGAACTAACCACCGTGGCGAGGTATGGTCAAACAACCTCCATGACTGACGACATCTGGGGAAGCCGTCATCTGCCAGTGAGGTGTGAATTGACAAAAGGCTTGTAAATTATACATATTTTATAGCTTCTATCATTTTGGTAACTGTAAGCTCATTAATCAGTGGGATTTAGTACTTGTAGGTAACACAAATCAATGGAGCAGTCACTGCTCAATATATTTTGTCACAAAAAAGATTCATCATGGTGAAGAGAATTGCTTTTGAAAAAAAATCTAACAATTGATCCAAAAGGGTAACATCGATTTAAAATTCCATGGTGTTGATACAACGTCAAAAGTTTATGAAGGCTTAAAAACCCCTTTCGCAGCACCTGCCTCCATTCCTATAATTGACGAATATTCATTTTGTAGGGGTTCTGGAATTAATCACTTTGAGAGACAACACGCACCGTCCAAAATGGAGTCACAACACCAGGCAGTTCTTTATGCTTTGGCGTGGGTCGATACTGAGAGGGTGTATATAGCCCCCCCCCCACTCTCATCATTACATCCGCTTTTGTGCACTGGCAATGTTCTTAACAAGAAGCTCTATGGAAATCTTTGATGGCCAAAACACAAGCCGCCGGCCGCCCTGCCATAGATAGATCACACCCCCGAAAAACGGTGAACTGAGCAATGATGACTTTTCTTCAGGTCGAAGAGGCAGCAACTGGCTCACAAATTTCAGGATTTATTAAGCAGACAGTTTTTTTGTTTGTTTTTGTTTCGACCGATAGATGAGTGAAAGGTGAATGTTGACAACGCATTATCGGTTTTGAACGTTATGGTTTGCTGGGGATATTCTAAGGATTTTTATCAAGAAGGATATATTTTTTTTTAGTCCAGCATTATATTTAGAACAGTCAAATGTGTTTGAGGCAATTAATCTGTTAAAGCGGACATTCAATAGTGTACGCATTTATTTATAGTCTGTCCACATGTGTTTAATTGCCACTCTCAGGTTTTGTTCGGTAATTAATGGTGTCATCTCCTTTTCTCATTAGGTCATTTTGACAAGTCTTCATCCAGGAGCACCCCGACATTTGTCTTTGAGAATATTTGTCCGACGGGCCCTGCATGGGATGTTTGTAGTTAACGAAAGTGTTTAATTTAATAACGAAGGTTTCCGTGACCATCGTTATGATTCGTCATTATTTTTTTTGGAATAGATTGCTTAGTACAAATGCCAAATTGTCTCCTCTCTCCCATTTAAAATAGTCACACGTGTGAATTGACTTTCAACGGACCGGTCTGCTGAACAGTCACCATTTGACATGTTTTGTTTTGTTGCATCAAGTGGAGGAGGATAATACGACACAACTTGGCTTTGTACTAATCAAAATACAGTACTCTGCCGTATAATATAGGCTTGTGTTGTGTTTCAGGGCATGATACTGAAAAATTATGTATTGATGAGGATGTACAGATGTCTCTATTCAAACTCTTTACGTATGAACATGGTCATAGGTTTGAATTGCACGTCTATTAAAGGGCATTCTCGTTAGAGATGGCACAGCTTGAGGAAAGCATTTACCAAGCAGCACATTGATCATGGCAGATGATGAAGATGATTAATGGTCATCTACATTTCAAACATAATACAGTATTGTATCTATTATGAAATTAAATTGTAAAACAACACGCAGTGGTAATACAGAGTGCCTCGGATCTCATTTCGATAGGATATTAAGGCAGACACTGTTGTGTGGTGATGGCGAATCTTAGATGTATTTCCTGTGGCTCATTAGCCTGGTGGTTGGTTTGGAGGTCATGGCTTGCTTCTCGCCAGGCAGGGGATGGCGAGTAAGTGGACATGTATCGACAAGTCCGGTGTGCTTCGCCTTTAGAGCCAGGGCTACCCCAAGAGCCTTAAAAATGTACGCACTAAAAAGAGAAGGGAAATGGGCAAATGCTGTGCAGGACATCAATAATTGAGATTGTGAACAGATCACAATAATTGATTAATGGGATTTTTTTATTTATAAAAACAACAATTAATTGCTGTATATATAATTATATCGTGCATTGTTTATGAAGCCGTCGTGATAGTTGAATACATTTTGCAGAGCACTTATATTTTGACTATTCTCGACTGGCCATCTTGCGAATATGCTTTTTACAAGTGTCAACACATTCCTGAATTATAAAGTGTCACTTTGTAACGAGAAGATTGAGCACTGTTGCAGATCAAAGTTTCCCTCTCCTCATCCTACATTGCAGCGTGCTGCCATTTACATGCTTGTCATTGTATGTATGTACATTGGAACATCTTTCGTACCGTACGTAGCCAACCGTGCAAATTGGAGGTGCGAGGAGGGGGGGGGGAGGAATAAACTACATGCAAAAGACAGTTCTAAAGAAAGATGATTTAAAAGTGCGTAGCTCCACGGTGGCTTCTAATATCAGAAGGAAGAACGTTCCAGATGGCCGCAAAAAATGCATCTGAAAAGCTTGCAACGCAGTGACCGTCTCTGTGACTGTCGAGCCACAGATGTAATCCAAGGGCTTCCTAAAACCCAGCACTGCTTTGCTTATTTATTTAATAGCATGTAGGACCTGCAGTTGATTTATCGTCCATTTGTACCAACACCGCCGGTAACTTACACAGTTTTCTATTTCGTTGTACATTAATCCGTAACATTTTCCAAATGGTCATGGATAGTTTCCATCATCTGTTATATCAATAAAAGGTCAAGGGCCTAACGTTCCACCGTGCTACTGTGTGAATGCAATTTGTTCCCTTATTCATCATCATTAAAAAAAGCCATAGAATATTGGGTTGTAACCCCACCCCGTGTGTTCAGCCCATGAATTACAATGTAAAAGCCAACATTGGTGTGCAGAGGTGCAAATGTATTACGATTTTTGGGTGTGCTGGTCCACTCAAAATGAAAAACTCTAGAGTGCTTTAAGTCAGTGCTTTGTAAGTGGGACGTTCAGTATCATTTTAAGAAAATGCATTCTTTTTAAGGCACCTTTTAACAAAATAATGAGTGCAGCAGTAACGGTTAGCGCACTGCACTGTGAACTATGCGACCTAAGATTGAACCCCGTCTACGGATAACGTAGCCGAACCAGTCCTGGGCATCCCCCTTCACCAGTCTCCCCTGACCAGCGTGGTGAAGTATGGTCAAACATCCTCATTGGCTGACATGGTATGGGAAAGCCTTCATCCAGCAGTGTATTGATAAAGGACTTTAAATCGTTTTTTTTTATTACCAAATAATACCCTATTGGGAACGTTCACAGCATGGTGTGTGAACCACTGTTCCACCATGCCCCCATGGTTGCATTGCAGACAAGTAAATAATTTGTGAAACGTCGGCTTGGGGTTAAAATGCTTATGGGTCGGTCTAATGGTTGGCATTTTTTTTGTTTACTAGGTGCATCCTCGAATGAAAAGCACGTTGTCGTTTTGTTACCAAGATTAGGAATGTATATGTAGCTGTTTGCGACACAGAACCGCTTACTGACACGGCCACGGCCACGTATGTTTTAGTTCAGAGGAAGAACTCTTAAGGACAAAGATTACCCCCGCTGGATTCGCCTCTTGTTACCCCACAGCGTTTGATTTGACATAAAACATCCCCATTCATTTATGCCCAGCAGACTTCCATCTGGACATCCCTGTGCCCCCTCCCCCCCCCCCCGCTGCTAAGATGCCCTGCCATTGTCAAGCTCCTAGCCGGCACTCGCAACAGGCATGCTGGGCCTGGTCCGGGCCCGAGTCCATTTGCTGATTGCCTCTGAGTGTTTTTTTTTTCCACGGAGACATATTTGTCTGTTCAGTGCCCTGCTATGCACAATGCACCGACGATGAGTGGATCGGAAGGGCCAAGCAACCCTCAAGATAAGCCCAACCTTGGAAGCAGTGCTAATTCGGAGCAGCCTTTGTACAGTAGTTAAGTAACGCAGATCAGAGTTTCGGTTTTTTTGCACGCTTACGGTGCCTGCTGGATTTTATAGGATGGAATAATGTGGCCATCCCATCGGCCATTGGGAATGTTGATTCCGTGAAAGGCACCACGGTCTATACAATGGTGTCTCTTTATGTTCACAAATGTCATCAAAATCTATTTGCGGAGGTCTATACAGTGATTTAAGTGTTTTAATAATAACAAACATCGGAGATATTTCTTTCCTCTAATTGAGAATATAAAAAACACCTATTGTATATTTTTTATTAACCTGTTATTTAATCCTCATTGTATGACTTTCTATAACTTATATTTGGAGATTTAATATTAGACAATCGTATTGATTATATTTAGATGTAAATTTAGATTTTTAAAATAATAGATTTTTTCATTTTGCCAATGTAATATGATGCCATTCATTCTTTTGAGGTTCACGTACTACAGCAAAGAGCACAATGTATATGATTGTGACACCCGACAATAACCCTGCTGTAGGTGGGCAGGCAGGAATGCCAAGCCTCATGGCAGACACATGACCACGTATCGTCGCTGCCAGAGGCCATCATCAAGATAGAGGAAGGACCCGCGTGGACACAAACCCCACCATTGTCCCGACGCTCGTTCATTTTCACCAACCAACCGAACAGGAATGAACAGAACAGACAGCGTCTGTTTAAGTTCGCCTCACTAACACAAGGGCCCGATGAAAGACTTCATGGATGGGGGAGACCAATCATGCAAGGAGGACAGCGGTGGTCATGGCAAAGTGCAGGCTGACTAGCAGGCCTCCAGACTCAGTCCCTCACTCATTGTGATTGGACAGCCAGGCAACAGCTTTGGATCAGCTGATGGCAGTTGCTCAGTGACCCCTGAGCACATGAGCTAAGCCTCTCAACCCCATCTGTCCCACCATAATCATTATCAATCGTTCCCTCTGCCGTCAGAGTCTGTGTGTTTTTACTTTTTATGTTCCAGTTCGTTTTGCGCCTTTATTTTTATATTCACCCTTCTCTCGTGGTCGTTACTCTTGAGACCAGTGTTTGGTAAGGGATGTACAGTTTTCTAAGTTTGGTTTGTTTTGCTTGGTGTCAGCTTGCTCTTGAATAAGAACGACGATTTCTCTTTATCCTGTGATCAGGGCGTTGCTGTTGCCTGCCGGCAGCGGTTTTAAGGTATTGTGTGTTGTGATTCCCTGTACGTCAGCTGTTGTGTCGCGAAGCAGTGCAGTGAATAGCTGCTGTATGACAACGCTGTGTCATTCATTTGCTATTTTAAAGTGCTCGTATAATGGTTTTCTAAAATGAGTGCTGCGTCGACGTAATTGTTGAAATGCAACCTGAAATTAGGGTGTTTTGCAAATGCAACACTCAAATGTCTGCGCAATTGTGGAAATCAAAGTTCCCTTAATACGGCGATGTGCCTACGAGGCTTTATAATGCACTTAACGGGTAAAATTCTGCAAGTGATTTGATTGGTTATTTAGTAAATTGATAGGAATCTCTTAAGCCAAATAAATAACAGGCGATGCGGGGCAGAAGCGGTCAGGACCACGTGTGGACGAGAGGTAAGCTGCGCTATCTTCTCGCATGTCACCGGTGGATTTAAGAATACGTTGGCACAAAGTAATTCCGATTTCTACAAATATCACTTTCAATCCCTCACGTTGAAACAGACATTGGCACAAACTGGTTTGTCGTTTTTTTTACATGTGGGTGTTACTTTCAGAAAAATGTAATCTTTCAAAAATGTTTGGAGAACAAAGGCCGAAATAGTTGAAAGCGAACCTTTACTTGCGTTAAAGGAGTGTTGTTTCATATTGCAGCTGGACACTGAATTTTTTCGCGGCTGATTTTTGGCAGCTGCTGTCAGATCCGTGGGCCATGTAGGGGAGAGTCTTGCTCCGAGTGAGACCCACCCCTTGGACAGAGGGAAGCGACAATGGCTTTTCCTACGAGCTTGTGTTCGCTCTCACGTACATATGCAAGATCAGGCCATGACTATTAATACGTTTAATTGAAATACCGCCCTGAAAAAAATATGTGCTTGGTCATGGCTAGGTGAGGGCCGTCAGTGTGTTAGGATGGCGAAGACGATTGTACTAGTGGCTCCGCTGTGCTGACGGACAGAACAGATAAATGTTGTAATGTAACGACCTGTGCCAAAACGGCAGACGTGCGTCTGTGGTGGAAAGAATCCGGCGCAGACGCGACACGTTCATTTGGATGTCCCTGCCACATTGCTCCCAACATTTAAGTACTGTATCACACTGCTGTGGTTGCCGGCCACACAACTGTCAGTTGAAGTATAGTTTCGTTTAAATAACTGGACAGCTGATGTTAATACTCCCAACACTTACGTGCTACTCGGCAGCACTGAGTGATGCGTGGCCTTATAGTTGCTATCCCATGCCCCCCCCCGATGTGTTTTCTATTGGTGGTCGTAATAATTCGCACGATTGTTATTTACCACATTTGATGTTGGGTTTTTTTGCACTTTCTCAAATGAGCCAATTTGCTAATGCACTCGACGCTAATCTTCAAGTGCCTTCTTACTGCCAGTGGCCTAAAGCTCCAATTTCAATTTGTTTTAGTAAAAAAAATATCTCCCTTTAAAAATAGTATTCTGTGGTTATGACAAGACTCATTTGTGGAAGTTATAAATTGCACTTACAGTTCTAACTGACGTTCACAAATACATAAAAGAGTTGACCTCTACTTAGACAGGCTTGGTGCACAATCACATCCATTAAGATGTGCTATAAATTGTCATTTTTTTTGGAATATGATCTCATGGCTTCATCTTCTGGGTTCTTTCGGTATAATCACGTGGAATGGAGATAAAATAATACAAATAATAATAACAGATTAACAACCAACCGAGCAGATTTTTTTTTATCTCCATTCTACGTGACTTTACCGAAAGAACCCAGAAGATGAATCCCTGCAGTCACGAAAGCTTTAAATCGAAATCGCATGGCTTATTACTTATGCATTAAATATGTATGCATTAATTGTTTCTTGCAGAAGTTACATTTTGGCTGCCAGCAATAAATGTACAGTGTTACACAATATACAGTCTCATTTGGGAAATATTGTTGCTTATGCACGCTTCTGTGCAGCGACCATCAAAAACAGACTTTAACTTCACTTAGATTTTAGGTATACGAATGGCCGCTGATCTCCACCTTAAGCGAACCTAGTGATGAGTGAAAACAATTTCCTCTGCGCCATCCCTGATGCCCCCCACCCCCCTTCCCCGTCAATCGTTCGTCCCTCCGTGTGTTCAAATATTCATTGATGTTCTTTTAAGAGCTTCCACTGGGCAAGACGTTGCCCGCGAATGCTCCGAGCCGAACTGTGGCGTTCGTGGTAGATCGGATGCAAAACAAAGAAACAAACCCACCGTGGGTCTCTCTCCCGCGTCTAAGTTTCCCAGAGAAGCGTGTTCTTACAGTGAAGAAGCCCTTTTTGTCCCGGTGACAGGCCAGGCGTGACCATGTTTCATTAACGGAGATGTCGCTTTTGTATGCATATTATATATTGCTGCTTTGAAGAAGAGTTATGCTTGAAAACAAATAGCACAAATGCTGTGTGGATCATAACGAGTAGAACATTTGGGAAATACACTGTCGTGGGTTTGAGATTTTTTTTAAAGTGCTTTTGAATAGTTTTCGTTTGTACGTGGATACGCTTAGAAATCTTACGTCAACCACTGCAGTTTTGTCGCAACATGACAGGCGTGTTCAGCCCCACGGTAAAATGTCCGCATGCTCGTCTGTAATTGGAATAATTGGAGTGAAAGCCTTTACAAGAGGCCTAGGCTCATTAGCATGTAATTACCCCCGGGGGATAGAGTGAAGCGATGGAGAAGGCACACGGATGGAGGGTTTGTGTGGGGGGGGGGTGTAAAGGATGAGGAGGTTGGGGGGGGGCGCTTTGTAAATAAGTGTTTGTATTGGTATACGCTGGGGAAGGGTCTGGGCAAGGGGTGGGGGGCAGGTGTAGGGGATGGGTGGCTGGGGAAGAGGGTGGGGGGCTAGGGAAGGGGGTGGGGGGCTGGGGAAGAGGGTAGGGGGCTGGGGAAGGGGTGGGGGGCTGGGGAAGGGGTAGGGGGCTGGTAAAGAGGGTGGGGTGCTGGGGAAGGGGGTGGGGGGCTGGGGAAGGGGTGGGGGGCTGTGGAAGGGGTGGGGGGGCTGGGGAAGGGGGTGGGGGGCTGGGGAAGAGGGTGGGGGGGGGGCTGGGGAAGAGGGTGGGGGGTCTGGGGAAGAGGGTGGGGGGTCTGGGGAAGGGGTGGGGGGCTGGGGAAGAGGGTGGGGGGCTGGGGAAGGGGGTGGTTGCTGTGGAAGAGGGTGGGGGGCTGGGGAAGAGGGTGGGGGGGGCTGGGGAAGGGGGTGGTTGCTGTGGAAGGGGTGGGGGGCTGGGGAAGGGGGTGGGTGCTGGGTAAATGGGTGGGGGGGGGGTGCCGAGTGGTGGTGCTGGAGAGAAAGGAGGAGGGGAGGGGAGTTGGATGTGTGTGTGTTGCGAGGGGTGGGGTGGGGTTGGTCCTTTCAACCCATGGGGCTTGGGAGCTCTCACGGCAGTTTGGGGCAGTCGTGTGAGCCTGGACTGGCTGCTGCTGCTGCTGTCGACTTGCGCCTCTTTGGGAAGTAGCGACTTGGCGAGCGCCACTGGGAGGGGGAGACGAGAGAGTGGAAGAGAAGCCGCTTCACCGGCAATGCACTGTGCTGGAGAGCCCCTTGGGTGCTACGGCCCAGCTGTGCCGCCATATCTGCAAGTAAGATCTCTCTCTCTCGTGCGTCGTGGTGGTGGTGGTGGGCACCGCCAAATAACATCGCTCGCAATGTTACTGCCGTGGCGAGATGTCGACGACCTCGCCCGGTGCGCAGGAGGTCATGGGTTCGATCCCCTGACCCTGACGACGATGCCTGCTGCTGTATAATTTGAGGTTGCGTGTCCTCTCTCTCGTGGTCGTGTGGATTATTTTTTTTGCTCTTCGGGTCCTCCGGATTTCTCCACCACCCCTCCCTCCCCTCCTCTTCACATTTCGAGAACGCGCGTTCGGGATTATTTGTTCTCCGAGCTTGACCGCCCCATTAGCCCACTTCGTTGCGTCCAGGTCGCTTCAGCGGGTCCTTACCTGGTCACAGATAAAGATACTCTCTTAGTTTTGTTTTAGTTTCCATTATTTCTTTCACGACAGGCTTAGCAACGTGCTATTATTACCCCCTTCCCCTGCCCAATACACGACCGGGAAGATTGCGTCGTGTGGGGCAGGGGAATGCAAAGCGGCTCCTAAGATGTTTTTTTCCTTGTTCGTGTTTTTTTTATTTTGTTGTGGTTGCACCCGATTCAAGAGCCGAATGGCTCGCAGGGATATACCAAAATACATGAAACTGAAAAACTGAAAACCTGAAACTTTGTCGTCTTCACGAAGCGAGACGAAAGTTCTGCGGGGAGGATTTTTTTTATTTATTGATTTAATTTCTTTCAAAAACGTTACCTGTGGAATTGTGAAGTTATTGTATGACGTTTTTTGGCGGCGCGTTGTGTCTGCGGTTTAATAATCTCAGGTGGTGGCCGCTTTTACAAAGATTGCAAGATTTCAGTGTGTCAGACAGAGGCTCTGTGTGTTCGTTGTGTCCCGTCACTTGCTTGTCAATTGATGGAATTATATATCTACATACACGGGGGTGTGCAGTTGCAAGTTTAAATGTAAAGTGTTAACTGTGATTCGTGTTAACACGCGCATTTTTTTTCTCTCATCGTATTCCTGCTTGCCGTAAAGTCGACTTGACGCCACTCGGTAGCGTTCCGTTGTTGAGGTATTTGAACGAATACAAATTAACTTATTTAAGTGATTATGTAAATGTGGATTAAGATCGGCAGGGATTAGCCTCGTAGCGGTTTTTCTTTTGGGGAATACTATGCATTGCATATGTTGTGGTTGATGGCTTTGACCTCTTAACAAAAGCCGTAACATGGAGTGTAATTATAAAAGGCCCTACTGTTGTGCTTTATTGACATTAAATCCATCGGAAAAGCTACACTGGGGGGCGGCGAGTCGGGGTGAATGCAGTTTGCTGTTTGTTGGACGGTGTCATCAGACGGTAAACGATGACATAGCCGTGTGTTTTAAGAAGGAAACAGTAGCATTTGTCCAACAACAGGAGGAT